AAATAAACGTATATTCTCATCAGTTCTTCTCCTAAACGCCTTGAAATTGGCCTCTGTCTCTTTAAGAACCTCCTTCTGCTTCTGTCCCGTCCATTTCAGCGTGGGGGGGGCGGGGGGTGCTGCTATGATGCAGTTTACTTGGCATCTGAAAATACATTTCCTCAAAGGTATTTTTAATCTGAAAAGAGCTTCACTGAGTGAGAACTAATGTTGAGAGCTCAGCAGACAGTTAAGTTTCACTTTCAGTTTCACCCAGAGCCTGCAGGAGTCGTGGGCAGGGTGTGTGGGGAGGGGTGGTGTGGGGGGTGCTCTGCCATGAGGAAGTTCGGCTTAAAGACCCATCCCAGGGGCGTTTCTGGTCCCCACCTGTCGTTTTGCTCCACAGTATGGCTTCATAAAAACACTGTAGGATTTCTCAAACATGCATGAATGAGTCAGAGCAAGGCTTTGGGAATGTTTTTTATGAGAGTATAACATCATAACATGATATAAAACTCAAAAAAGTTGATTTTACATGATATTGCTCCTTTAAGGTAATATTTGGCAATTTTCATAACACAAACGTACATTTTCATCATCTTCACCTTTTTTTCCAGGTTTGTTAAAAGAAATGGCATTCTATTTGTGCATTATTTCTAAAAGTACAAGTACAAGATCTTCGAGTCTACAGAGTCTTTGGTCCTCAAGTCTACAGAGACTTCAGTTCCTGTTCCAGTCCCTGCTTCTGAGTCATCAGTTGCAGTTCCTGCTTCCGAGTCCAAGTCTTCACACTCCATAGTTCAAGTCCACCAAGCATCAGCTCCAGTCACAGAGTCTTCAGTTCCTGTTCTAGTCTCAGCATCAGCGGCCCTCAAGCCGTCAGAGTCTTCAGTCTCCGTCTTCGAGTCATTACCATCCAAGCCTGATCCTGTTTCATCACAATCATCAGTTCCAGTCTCAACTCCAGTACCGCAATCTTCAGTTCCTAAAATCCCGGGTTGTACTGTGAAGTCCCCGGGTCAGTCTGTTCCTGTATCCCCGGGTTTGATTATGAAGTCCCCGGGTTTGCTCGATCCTGAGTCTACGCTGGCCTCCGAGTATCCTGAGTCTACGCYGGCCTCCGAGTATCCTGAGTCTACGCCGGCCTCCGAGTATCCTGAGTCTACGCCGGCCTCCGAGTATCCTGAGTCTACGCCGGCCTCCGAGTATCCTGAGTCTACGCCGGCCTCCGAGTATCCTGAGTCTACGCCGGCCTCCGAGTATCCACAGTCTACGCTGGCCTCAGAGTATCCACAGTCTACGCCGGTCTCTGAGTGTCCAGAGTCTACGTCAGCCTCCGAGTATCCTGAGTCCCCAAGTCTACCTGTGTTTCCCAAGCAGGCCTCTATTCCTGTGTTTCCCGAGCAGGCCTCTGTTCCTGTGTTTCCCGAGCAGGCCTCTGTTCCTGCTCCAGGCCACCGTCCTGAGATCCGGCTGCCCTCCTGAGATCCAGCTCTTCTGCTGCCTCCCTCCGAGCCTCCCTCCTGAGATTCTGTTTCGCCTTGGTCGGGCACCAGGGCACCCGCCTGAACTGTGGCCCTGCACCAGATGTGCCTCGGGCCATCTGTGAACATTTTTGTTTTGAGCTTTTTATTTTTCCTCCCAGGACTTCCTGACGGTTTTTGGTTCGAGTTTTTGATTTTGTTATTTTCTTTTTTCCCTGTGCTCTTTGTCCTGTCTTTTCCGAGTCTCATTTCTTCTGTTGTCTCTTGCCTCCCATCCTGTTTTGTTTGTACCCCCCACCTCCCTCCCGTGCTTGTGTTTTTGTTCATCGTCTGGAGACGATTCCTTGAGGCGGGGTACTGTGAGGATTTGTGTTTTGTGTAGGAGTCTGTGGTTTGTTGTCTTGTCTTCGATCTCCCTCTTGTGTCCTCTTCACTCCGTTACTTCTCCTCAGTCCTCAGTTTTCTCTAGATCTTTCCCTCTCACCTGAATTCTCTTGTAATTATCTCAGCTGTTTCCAACTTTCACTCATCCCTGTTTGTATAAATTCTGCTCATTTTCTCTCCACCTCYGTCCGTTCATTATTTGGTTTTCCGCCCTGGCTTGCCTCCTTGTTCTCCTGCCCTCTGTAAGTTTTTGCTTTGTCGCCCCGTTGGCTTTATTATGTAATAAATACTTTTATTTTTTGTACTTGCCTGCCCGCTTGCCTGCACTTGGGTCCAATCCTGCCCACCAAACCTGTTAAAAGGTTTAATTACAGCAACCTTAAAGCTCTGTGGCACATTAACCATTCATTAAAGATAAATTAAGTAATCTAGAATATAAATATTAAGGGAAATGCTCCTTTGAACAGTCTGGTTGGGATAGGATCTAGCAGACATGTTGATGGTTTGGATGAAGCTATTATTTTAGATAATTCAGAGCTCAACAGGACAAAAACTGTCCARACATAAATCAGGTTCTAGTGACACTAAAGCTGCCTCATCTGACAGAGAATCAGAGACAGTAGCAGGAAGTTTGGCATGAATTTTATCCCTTTTATAAAATTATTTTATCTATAAAGAATCTAATGAAGTCATCATTACATAGAGTTATAGGGATACATGGCTCAACAGAGATAGGACTTTTCATTAGTCTAGCTATAATACTGAACAGAAACCTGGGATTGTCAATGTGTATCAATGTGTTCTACATTTCAAGTTGCTTTGATTAAAATAATTAAATTTTCTAAACCTACATTTAAAATGAAAGCAGAAAAATCTGAAGTAAAAAGCATAAATATTAGAAAGCAGCAGCAGAAGAAAAGGCATCAAGATTTTATTTCAGATTATTTTTTGTGAATCAAAACGAGATTTTCAGTGATTGTACTGAAACTGGTTTTACATCTGAAAGATCATCTTTACAGACTGAACCAAATCCTGTTGGTCTCAGTGAAAATAAAATTATTGTTTTGATTAATTAATTTGTCCTAGTCCAGTGTTAGAAACTGCAGCTTGAAGATTCTCGGTTTCTTGTCATCATCTCTGATTTGTTTTCAGTTCTTGAAGTTTTGTTTGGTTTTCACCTGACAGAACATGGATTTCACTGCGTTTCATAAAATTTAGTGTTGTACACAAAACCAACAAACATCACAAAAAAACAGATCTTTTAAAGAAAACAATGATTTTCATCAGAGAATTGGCTGCACCGTCGTCTGTCAACATTCGTCTCTAATCCAGACTGAAGCGTCCTCGTCTCATCTCAGCTGTTTCTGGTCCCTGATGACATCATCGGACTGTAGCACCTTTATTAGAAGGTTTTGATATTTTAATAAAGCACAGTTATAAACCAGAATAAATCTGGTTTTGTTTTATAAAGGTATTTTCCTTTTAAAAAAACAGTTCATTTATCTTTTTTCTGAAGGCAGAACTTTTAGGGTCCATCAGCTGGACTTTATTAAACCAAGAGTTTGTTTTGTTTGTTTTTCTTCAGGATGAATGAGTCAGGTTGTCAGCTGGACCCACGGACCTGGGCCTGGACCTGCTGGGACGGCACTTCCTGCTCAGCAGCCGCCGTGGGGATGTTGATGTTGGGGTCGTCGTCCACCTGGTAGCACTTCCCCAGGTTCTTGATGATGTCGAAGTTGTAGCAGGCCGTTTCTGCCAGACTTTTCTCAAGAATCCACCCCTCTGACTCTGAGTCCGGGTCCCCCAGCCGGATGACGTTCTCCATGGCCGTCTGCAGGTACCGGACTCCAGTYAGAACCAACAGCTGGAAGGAAAGGTTCAGCTTAGTGAGATCAGCTGCGTATCAGCTGTTAARGTGAAAAAACTTTTTTGTTGCAGAATTTATTAGAGATTTGTAATGTAACACTTCCAGTTATAAAACATGCAGCTACATCATGGGTAAAGAAATCAGCAGGGTGGAGAATAGATTCAAAGTTCAGTAAAAAGGAMAGAACACCAGACTGCAGAGATTCCCAACCTGGATTCTGAAGTTCTGATAACACTTTCATCTCAACCAGATCAGATGCAGGATACCAGACCCCCAGGGTTGGAGACCTTGGTTTCACAGGGACACAAAAACCTTACCTGAAAAGCTACATCAAATGTGTCAAACTGAAGGCCCACGGGCCAATATTGGACATTTTATGTTGCCCGCGAGAACTTTGAAGATGTATCATTGTCTTAAATTAAGTTGCTTTAAATCCAGCATTGAACATAAACTACATCTCCCATGATGCATGTTTATTATTTTACCCACAAAACGACAGCAACCCACCACCAGGTGGAGCTGCACGTGGTTCAAAAGTAGCCAACGAAATTCGAAATGTAAAAGCTCCATTTCACTGCATTTCTGCTGCGGCCCAGTTGTACTGGGAGATGGTATTTTCCCACTTACAGGAGGTAAATTTTAACTGGAACGCACCTCCAGTGGGAATTCCCTGTTGGAAAGTGAGAGTTCAGAATTCATAACTACTCGGCACAACTCAGAAGTCACAACAGTGACCAAAACATTTACTTTTAATAGTGTTTCTGTATAATTTATGTCACATTTACTCAGTCGTACRTGTAGTACTTTTCAGTATTTATAATAGGATGTCTTAAAACGCTGTTTCTATGCAGGAAATACCAGGTGGAGCTCAGTTAGTGTTGTAGTGGTGCTCAGCCGTAGCAAAGAGGCAAAAAACGTGACATTTCATAAAGTTAAACACAAAACATGGAAGTTAATCAACTGGCCCTTTGAGAGCCACCATAAGGCTCATATGRCCCTCAGTGTTTGACAACATTTGATCTACATGTTCTCTGATTGGACATGAAGTACCTCAAAGAGCCAGATGAGGAGCACGGTGAGGCCGATGGACTGCATGATGCCGGTGTAGTGGTCCAGCAGGGCCTGTCTGCAGCCTCTCCTCCACAGGTTCAGCTGCTGGTTTTGCTCATTGTAGCCGAAGTCCTCGGAGAGGCCGCTGAGCTGGTGCTGGACACAGGGCCGGGGGGATAGGGTGCTGCAGCAGCTGAAGGGAACGCTGTCCATCAGGTACTTCCCCTCCATGTTACTCCTCAGGCGGCTGCAGGACAGAAACATGTTGTAAACTAGGAACCAGGTTCTGTTTGAAATTTAGAGAACATTATATTATTGGTAATTTAGACAACCCCTTAATTGGTTTATTTCATACCTTTCTGGCCGTACACAGATAGTTCAGTTAAAATCCCTTTCTGTTGCGGTGTTCCACAAGGTTCTGTCCTTGGCCCTCTCTTTTTTTTATCATTTACTTCTTACCACTCTGAAATATCTTTCAAAAACATAATATCAAATCCGCTGTTACGCAGATGACACCCAGCTCTTTCTGTCCACCACATCTGATGCCACCCTCCCACCCATCTCATTGTCTGACTGCCTCCATGATATCAAGTCCTGGTTCACAAGCAACCTACTCCAACTAAACAGCGACAAAACGGAATTTCTTCTCAATGGAACTAAACCCACCCTTGCAAAAACCTACAACTTTTCTCTTTATTGACAGCACCCCAGATTCCCCATCCCTCTGGGTGTCATTCTAGTCAACACGTCATCATTTAACTCTCATATTAGTAACATCACTGATTGACAGAGTGTAATATTATCTCATGATGGGAAGGAACAGAGTTATAATGGTTTTCTTGTTTTGGAAAGTCTGGAGAAGATTAGGGGAAAGTCTGGACCCTAGGAAGGAAAATCTAAAGAATCAGGTGGATCAAGAGTTGGGTTTCTATAAGAACATTAAGCCAAATGTTGAGCCCAGACGGGTTATCTTGGGTGATTTGGACCGAAGTTAAACCCTGATAGTAAATCCTTTGATCTTCCAATTTCCCAGCAGACTTGCTGTGAATCTGTGACCTCAGTCAGAAAATCAGCTGTTTGCTGATTTAGCCCTGAAAGTGTTGCAGTCGTATTTAAGACTGTTCAGTAAAGAGATGTTAAGATATTAGTTCATTTATAAAACGCTTGTGGAGAAATTATGGTCGAGCTTTCACGCATAAGAACGAACAAGTCAACAATCCAAGTAAAGTTCTGAAAGGTTTGGTGCGTAATTATTTAACCAAACTGTTTGACTGGGCTGCCAGATGAGGTGGAAGTTGAAACACAAAGAAACCAGTTGGTCTTTTGCTTCTTGATGGATGTTTTTAACTTAACTTACTTACTCTGGAAAATCCTACCTCTGGAAAATCTTCCACCAGACATCATATAGAATGGTTGCAGTCTAACTTCAGTCCTGCTGGATTCATCATAGAAAGTGCTGGTACATGTTTTTACAGGACCTGAGCTGGTCCACATGTTGGCATCTGATGCTAATTCTGAACAAGGGTACAGTTTGTGACTCGTTTTTAAATGTAGTTTGATCGTTGTTGCTCAAAGTCTTACAAATTCTACTTTAAAGTTCTACAATCTTAAAAACTATTTAAAATGCATATTCAAGAAGAACAACTGGTGCTTCTCAAAGTCAAGGATGCTTTCTTGATAGGAGTTTTTTCAAAGCCGGGAAACCCTCCCCTGCATTCAGAAAACACCTCATGAAGTAAAGCTGACGATTCAGCAACAACAAAAACCCCACTGATGTTAGACAGTGAGGGGCTTTTAGCTGGCTACTTAGCAGCTTAATAGCATTTATTAGTAATACACTAATGTATTCCATTAATGGTTAAATGATTGTTTGTCATTTAATGGAACACATACAAAGCTGATAATAGTGAAAACAAAAAAATGGTTTCAATGCCTTCATGTTGACATCAGTCCCGTTGGTCATGCACAAACTGTGTAGGTTCTGCAGGAACTGTAATTATTACCTCCACCAAGGAGGTAATGTTTTTGGTTATGTATGTCTGTCTGTGGACAAAATTACTCAACAACTAATGGACGAATTTTCATGAAATTTTTGCCACAGGTGGGTATCGGCCAAAGGAACACACCAATACATTTTGGTGATCGTGATCTGGATCCAGGAATTTTTTGAAGGATTCTTGGTGGTGGTTTGCGGTCTTCGAGTGCTTCTAGTGAAACTGGGATCTTTAAGAGCTTTTGGACACCATTACTGTCAATTAGCCAGATTTGGTAATGAAGTTTTCTACAAGCGCTGCCAGAATCATTCTTTGAATTTTAGACGTATTTTCAGTCACACCAGGATCTCTTTGACGCTGATGATGAACTGAACTCAACAATCTCCAGAACCCTCCACCAGCTCTGGTTCCACTTACTCCACTACATTGCTGTTGGTCATGTCCAGGAAGCGGCTGCTGATCCACTGGACCTGGAACCAGTCCCTATAGCCAGTGTTCCCGCAGCACTGGAACTGGATCTGCAGCAGGTCCAGGGTCCTCTTCAGGTAGCATCGCCCCGGCGTGTCCGTGTCCTTATAAAAGCGCATGGCATTCCTCAGGCCCAAGTACAGGGACTCCTCCAGCTGGCTGCGGATGCTGTAGCACAGGAGCGCCCCCGCCAGGACGCAGGCAGTGAAGAAGAAGGTGCAGACGATGTAGGGCATCATCACCAGCTTCCAGCGCAGGAACTTGTTGGTGTCCGCACAGTCCAGGCAGATCTTACTGCCGAGGTAGTTGATGCCGCAGGCAGCCAGTCCTGTGGTGATGAGCATGTGTGGCACGTAGAGGATCCCCTGCTCTGACATCACTTCCTGCCACTTCTGGATCTCCACTTTGAGGAAAATACCCATGCCGAAAAGGATAGCTCCCGTCACCACGGAGATCCAGTTGAGCAGCCAGAGGACCTCAGCCAGCTTTTTTCTCTCAGCCTTGGTGAAGGTCACCTTACCGACCGCCATGCTGGCACTCCAGGGTTTGAGTTTCCTACATCCAGGGAGAGGCAGACATGGTCCAACTTTTAAAGCTCCTCACACTGCAGTACTGATTATCACCACTAGGTGCTGAATGGTGAACATCTCCAGAGGTTTGGTTTCACCAAACAAAATGTCTGAATCTTTCTCTTGGATGTGATTTTAAAGGCTAAAGTGGTATCAGGTCCTTGTTGTCGACCTAAATTTTGTTCCAAGTTCTTCCAGTTTTGCCAAAATTTCAGTTTTTAAGGCTACAGCTTTTTTATTAGTCATGAATACATTCTTGTTTCAATACAAGTAAAACTGAAGGCACCACGAAACAGGAAGTTTTAAATCTTGGTGTCTTTTTGACAGTGTGACGTCCGTTCCAGGTCAGTTTTAGTCGTGCAAACAAATCTGCACCAATCAGGACCATCGCTCTTCACAGAGTCCAGCATCGTTTGTCTTCTGAGTCCAGATCCAGATAAAAACAACTCCACTCCCGCATACAGAACCCATCCAAGAATAAAAACCCAAGGCAAAGGTCTTGCATCTGGTCCACAGGGGTCGACACACTCAGAGGTCTGGCTTCAGGGAGGCCTTCAGGACGAGTGAGGAAGAGGAGCAGTCGAAGCTGCTAGTAGAGAGCCATAAGGAGCTTAAAGAGATATTTTAGTCACTCTGCAAGTCCAAAGACAGAACCAGCATGTGCTCACTACGAAGAAGGAAAGAGACAAGGTTTTACTTAACTGGTGCTGAGGTTATAAAACATCATTATTATGAAGTACAGATTTTAAAGAATGATCACAGAAATATATTTACTTAAATAAAATGAGACCAAATTTTATCAATCTGATTGAAGATTTCAGCCGTTTACCTTCATTTTCATCCCTCAGCCTCCTCTGGGTTCAATCGGACCACCCGTCATCCTCTGGCAGGATGGGCTCTGCCACAGTTTCAGCCATGAAGTAAATGCTGCGTTTCTGAAGCTTGGACTAACTTCCTGTCCTGCATTGTCTAATCTCCTTACAGCTAATCAGGTTTGCTGTAAGCTGCAAAGTCTCCAGCCACTGACTGGATGCTCAGCAGGAAGGTTTATTGGAGGTAGCAGACATAAAATAATAATTATTTATTTATTAATTGTTATTTAACCAGGAAAGTCCAATTGAGATCTCAGATCTCTTTCTCAAGGGAGGCCAGKGCCTGAAGGCAACCTATTGTACATGTTTATAAGGGTGGGGGAAACCGGAGTACCCAGAGAAAACCCACGCAAGCACGAGGAGAACATGCAAACTCCACACAGAAAGACCCCAGGTCCGAACCGGGGATCAAACCCAGGACCTTCTTGCTGTGAGGTGTCGGTGCTAACCACTGAGCCATTGTGCCGCCAAATAAATCAAGATAACATCAAAATAACGAGGATATAGTGAATGACAGGGGAGGAGTCTGTTAGATAGACAGTTAACTTAAGGTTGGTAATAATTTTAGTTATTAATAATTAGAAAACATGTCATTTCAAACAAGCTGTCAGTTAACATCTTAACATTTATATATTTTAAATTTAACACTTGAATACATAACACAACCTTGTATGGACCACGTACTTATCCAGTATGTACCCAGTACCAGAGACAAATTGTGTATTGTGTTGTGCAGCAGATATGTACCTTGTTTCCCAATGGTAGGCTTTCTTTTTTACCAAACACCTGATACTTATTTGGTACGTACTAAGAACTTACCAGGTTCTTCCTTGGTTGGTACATGGTTTTTACAGTTGTAGGAAAGTGTGAATTATTTTTTTTACATTGTTCACCTGCAGGTTTGTCAAAAACAGAAGAAAAACTGAATTAAATAATCTTCACCATTTAAACTTTGTTAATCATCAAAAGTTTACACAAGATTTCAGAATCATTACAGCAATAACATCCAGATTTACCAACATATAAAAAAGAAACAAATCCAAATAGTAAATAAATAAAAAAATAAACAAAAAATAACAAAAACATGGTAAACAAATAAATTCCAACAAAATCAAACAGTCAGCATACAATGTTTATTTGTAGAAAAATGTGTCTGAGTTTGTTTTACTCATTTACTGTTTTCAAGACATTTTTCCAAAAGATTTTAATAAGGAATTTTTGGTCAAAGCTGCGAAATTTCATACAGAAAATGATGTTTTGTCTATCTCTGATCAAAAAAAAAAAAAAAAAAAAATAAATAAATAAATAAATAAATAAATAAATAAATAAATAAATAAATAAATGTTTATTGCAACATTCAGGTTTCACAAGGTTTTGCTGAAAGTTTATTTGAAGTAAAAGGAAGCTTTAGGTCTTAAACCTTTAAATGAACATTATTAAAATATGATACACTGATCTCTACATCTGTCCTGAATGTACAAATAAAGGTACAACACAACACACTGTAAAAACTGAAAATTCTWCAAGGCAATGATTCCCAACCAGGAGTACATGTACCTCTTGGTGAAGGCGAGCATATTACAGGGGRTACGTGGAAAACTTTCCCAGGTGTGTAAAAAAATAAATAAATAAATTCCATTTCATAATCAGTTGTAGTCCTCTCCTTGGGCTGCCACCTTATTGTGGTGGAGAGGTTTGAGTGTCCCAATGATCCTAAGAGCTATATTGTCGGGGGCTTCATGCCCACTGTGAGGTTACGCAAGGCAAACAGGTCGTAGGTGAGGGATTAGACAAAGTGTAGCCCAAAGACCCCGATGATGAATACAATAAATGGAGTCAGTGTTCACTCGCCTGGACACGGGTCACCAGGACCCCACTCTAGAGGCAGGCCTAGAGGTGGGGCACGTTGGCGAGCGCCTGGTGGCCGGGCTTTCACCCATGGAGCCCGGTCGGGCACAGCCCGAAGAGGAGACGTGGGTCCCCCTTCCCATGGGCTCACCCCCTGTGGGAAGGGCTGTAGGGGTCAGGTGCATTGTGTGTTGGGCAGTGGTTGAAGGCGGGGACCTTGACGGTCTGATCCTCACTACCAAAGCTGGCTCTAGGGATGTGGAACATCACCTCTCTGGTGAGGAAGGAGCCCGTGCTGGTGTATGAGGTTGAGAGGTTCTGACTAGATATAGTTGGACTCACCTCGATGCACCAGTCTGGCTCTGGAACCAGTCTTCTCTAGAGGGGTTGGACACTCTTCCACTCTGGATTTGCCCATGCTGAGAGGCGCCGAGCAGGAGTGGGCATACTTATTGCCCCTAATCTCGGTGCCTGTATGTTGGGGTTCACCCCGGTGAATGAGAGGGTAGCCTCCCTCCACCTGTGTGTGGGGGGACGAGTCCTGACTGTTGTTTGTGCCTATGTGCCTAACAGCAGCTCAGATTACCCACCCTTTTTGGAGTCCTTACACTCCTTTCGGGGACTCCCTTGTTCTGCTGGGGGACTTCAACGCTCACGTGGGTAATGACAATGAGACCTGGAGGGGCGTGGTTTGGAGGAATGCCCCCCCCCCCCGATCTGAAACCGAGCTGTTTTGTTTTTGGACCTCTTTGCTCCTCAAGGATTGCCCATAACGAACACCATGTTCAAGCATAAGGGTGTCCATATGTGCTCTTGGCACCAGGACACCCTAAGCCGCAGTTCGATGATCGACTTTGTTGTCGTTTCATCTCATCTGCGGCCGCATGTCTTGGACATTTGGGTGAAGAGAGGGGTGGAGCTGTCAACTGACCACTACCTGGTGGTGAGTTGGCTGCATTGGTGTGGAAGGATGCCAGTCAGACCTGGCAGACCCAAATGTATAGTGAGGGTCTGCTGGGAACGTCTGTCAGAGTCTCCCGTCAGACGGAGCTTCAACTCACACCTCCGGGGGAACTTCAAACGCGTTCTGGGGGAGGTGGGGGACATTGAGTCCGAGTGGGCCATGTTCCGTGCCTCCATTGTCGAGGTGGCTTACCTGAGCTTTGGCCGTTAGGTTGTCGGTGCCTGTTGAGATGGCAACCCTCGAACCTGCTGGTGGACACCAGCGGTGAGGGATGCTGTCAGGCTGAAGGAGTCTTATCGGGTCTTTTTGGCCTGTGGGACTCTGAAAGCAGCCAATAGGTATCGGCAGTCCAAGCGGATTGCAGCTCGGGTGGTCACTAAGGCAAAAACTTGGGCATGGGAGGAGTTCTGAAAGCCCATGGAAAACAACTTCTGTATGGCTTCGAGGCGATTCTGGTCCACCATCCGGCATCTCAGGGGGGACAGTGGTTTGCCACCAACACTGTTTATTGTGGGGATGGTGCGCTGCTGACTTCAAATCGGGACGTTGTGCGTCAGTGGGCAGAATACTTCGAAGACCTCCTCAATCCTACCGACACTTCTTCCCATGAGGAAGCAGAGCCTGAGGACCCTGGGTCGGACTCTCCAATCTCTGGTGCCGAGGTCACTAAGGTGGTTAAAAAGCTCCTTTATGGCAAGGCACTGGGGTGGATGAGATTAGCCTGGAGTTCCTTAAGGCTGGAGTTCCTGAAGGCTGTGTTGGTTGACACGACTCACAATATTGAGTGGACATCGGTGGCAGTTCCTCTGGATTGGCAGACCGGGGTGGTGGTCCCCCTATTTAAAAAGGATGATCACACTTCTGAGCCTCCCTGGTAAGGTCTACTCAGGGGTCCTGGATACGAGGGTCCATCAGATAGTCGAATCTCAGATTCAGTAAGAGCAGTGTGGTTTTCATCCTGGTAGTAGAACAGAGGACCAGCTCTACACCCTCAGCAGGGTCCTGGAGGGTGCATGGAAGTTTGTCCAACCATTCTACTTGTGTTTTGTGGACTTGGAGAAGGCGTTCGACCGTGTCCCTCGGGAACTCCTGTAGGGGGTACTCCGGGAGTATGGGGTACCAGGAGGTCCTGCCCCAAGTGGAGAGTTTAAGTATCTTGGGGTCTTGTTCACGATTGAGGGAATAATGGAGCGGGAGATCGACAGGCGGATTGGTGCTGCATCTGCAGTGATGCGGGCGCTGTACTGGTCTGTCGTGGTGAAGCGAGAGCTGAGCCAGAAGGCAACGCTCTCGGTTTACCGGTCGGTCTACTTTCCTACCCTCATCTATGGTCATGAACTTTGGGTAGTGACCGAAAAAATGATATCGCGGATAGAAGCAGCCAAAATGAGTTTCCTTCACAGGGTGTCTGGGGTCTCCCTTAGATATAGGGTGAGAAGTTCAGTCATCCGGGAGGGACTCAGAGTAGAGTCGCTGATCCTCCACGTTGAGAGGAGCCAGTTGAGGCGGCTCCGGCATCTGGTTAGGATGCCTCCTGGACACCTCCCTGGTGAGGTTTTCTGGGCACGTCCCACTGGGAGGAGGGCCAGAGGAAAACCCAGGACACACTGGAGGGACTATGTTCCTCAGCTGGCCTGGGAACGCCTTGGGATTCCCCCAGATGAGCTGGCCCAAGTGGCTGGAGAGAGGGAAGTTTGGGTCTCTCTGTTTAGGCTGCTGCCCCCGCGACCCGTCACCCAATCCYGGATAAGTGGAAGAAAATGGACGGATGGACGGAATCAGTTGTAGTACATTAGAGTTTTGGAAAATCGACCTTACTTTGACTGAAGGTGTACTAGTGGTATGATAAAATGGCTCAGGGCGTACACAAGTCTTAAAAGGCTGGAAACCACTGCTCTAATGTACCAAGATCTATGGGAGAAGCACTGTGGTTAACGCTGGGTCCAAAAATAATAACTTCACTTTTATTGTAATTGAAATTTAAAAAATGACAAGCCATTTACCTCGATGATGCAGTCAAACGTTAGCTTCAATTAAGAAAAATTATTGCGCTTTAATTGAAGATAGATCTGGTTGTCATCTGCGTAGGAAAGAAAAAGGATATGAAATTTTCAAAAAATAGAGCCCGAGGGAAACATGTATATGGAAAATAAAATGGGACCAAGAATGGAACCCTGGAGAACTCCACAAACGAGGGGGTTGAGGAAGAAACAGAATTTCCAAAGCTCACAGAAAAACTCCTGTTTGACAGATAAGATCTAAACCAATCCATTTCTGGATTTGATACCACATTGATCTAGTGGGCAGGGAGAACTTCTGGGTCGTGGCACTTGTTTAAAAAAAAAAGAATAGAAATTACAAAATCGAAACTGACCAGTTATTATCTGTTTCTTATAATATGAAAAAGTAGAACTAAGGGATGCTAAGCTATTTTTCTTTTTCTTTATATTTTCTTATTCATCTAAAAATTTACGTATCACTTCGGCACAAGTATGTGGGTAAATATGTTTTCAAGTAAATAATACAAAGCTCTGAAAGAAATTCAGATGTCTCAGCTTTTTAGCAGCACGTGAGTGCACCATGTACACACAAATCTGGGAGCTCTCTACAGCGTTAAATGAGCCTCAAAATGTTTTGTGCAATTGTAACCTGATGTGTGCGTGAATGTTAGAATAGAATAGAATAGAATAGAATAGAATAGAATAGAATAGAAACC